GTTCAAGATCTTCACATTAAACTTTCCTCTGAATCCAAAAGGGCAGACACATTGGCATTTGAAATGAAGCGGCTTGAAGAAAAACACGAAGCTTTACTGAAGGAAAAAGAGGTAAACAAAGTATAACTGATAATTTAATGTACCTGTCTTCTTTTGGTTTTGAATACTATCCTTGCTGTTCCAAGAATGGAACTCACATCAACCAGTTCTTCTATCTTTCTCCTAATTGAAACTGTTGTAAAAGAATGTCTCATAAAATTCTTCATGCAATCTTGTTCATTTCCTTCTTAAGGGAAGATGAAGTCACAGAGCCTGGGTCATATATCTCAGTGCATATTTTCCAGTTCTAGACTGTCAACTTGAAGGCAAGAACCATAGATGCAATTTTTTTTAAGCAGCTCTATCAAGATATAATTTACATCCCCTAAATTTTGTCCATTTAAAGTTTACAATTCAGTGATTTTTAGTGTATTCGCAGAGTTGTGCAACCATCAACACAATCAAATTGTGGAACACTGTCATGATTCTCTGTCCATTAGCAGTTACTTTGCATTCTATCCTTGGGAAATAGTGTTTTTCCACAAAGTTATACTTCCAGGATGCTACTTAACACTTCTTTCAGAAGAATTCATAACAATGTTAAAAGGAAATAACAAGTCTCCAGCACATTCAGGAGGCAAATTCTTCGTTCCCTTTCCCTTCAAAGGGGCTGGATGTAGTCCTCCTTGGCTGGACTCGAAAGAGTTCAACCATTGTACATTCCTGTTTGAATTTTCCAAAGCAAAACTCACTTTTACCCCATTAAGAGGCAAGCCTAGCCCAACTATTCCTGGACCTTCAAAAAGCCATTGGTAAATGGCAACAGGGAATCCAGGGTTGTGGGACGTGGGAGGAGAGGCTGGAGGAGGGACTTGCTAGCTGTAGTTTGACACACTGTAATCCTTGCCAGGAAAGGAGCCACAATAATTCTGAATACTTTACACACTTTACTCAAAACACCTTTGCAAGGGTTTATGTATCAATATTGCTGTTTTTACTATATGATACTAAAGCCAAAGAGTCAAATAACTTGCCCTAGACAATGTAGCTAGGAAGTAGTGAAACTGGAATTCAAGCCATGATCTATTTGCCTCCAAAGTCCATCCTTCTTTATTACTCTGCAGTTGCGTATTTGTACTCTGTTGCATAATTACATCCATTTTGTTCAAAAATAAACCAATAGGGAAATCAGAGCTTTCTGTTGTATAAAGAATATTATGTGATTTATGCAAGAAAAAAATTACATCTTAGCACTATAACTGAGACATAGTCATTTTTAATTAACTAAGCAACACTAATCAAATTAACTTAAGATAAAATTATCGTAAGCAAAAGTACATTTCCTGTGGGCAGAATTATATATTTGATTTATATAAACAATTCTTTTTTAGAGATTAATAGAACAGCGTGATACTCTGAAAGAAACAAATGAAGAGCTTCGATGTGCACAAGTACAACAGGATCACCTAAACCAAACAGGTGATTTTTGGTGGATTTAGAAAATTTTCTTTTAGTAGTAGAAATACTAAAATGTTAATCTTCTTTGTTCTTGTTGTTTAGATGCATCTGCTACAAAAAGTTATGAGAATCTTGCTGCTGAGATTATGCCAGTGGAATATAGGTAAATTGTTTTTATTAATTGATTATTCATACTTAATATTAAAATGTGATTTCTTCATTTTTTTTGGTAAATTTCTTAGCCTTTAACACGTAACGTTTTATGAGTCATAGTGCTCAAAATTACTTTGTTTCATCTGCTTAAATTTTGTAAATCATCTTGTTATTGCTACAGCAACAGTTTAAAACTTGTCAGAAGTAAAATTTCACAAACTAGCTGAATAACATATTATGGTTTTTATAATATGACCTTACTGTTTTGAAACTTTTTTTCCTATCCTTAAACTCCATGTAAAATCCTTTTAATAGTTAAAAAAAAAAGAATAGCTGTCAGGAGGAGGCAGATTAAGTAGAAATTACATAAAATAGAAATTTTAGAGGTTCCTCTTGACTCAACTTTTATCTTGGAATTTTATTGCTATGTTTGCTTATAGACATTTGGCTAATCTGGTACTTTTATGGGTTTTTTTTTGTGCCAACACTTTTATTTTTTTACTTTAAATTTTTTATTTAAACAGCTTTATTAAGATATAATTCACCCATTTAAAACTGTACAGTTTGGTAGTTTTTAGTGTAGTCATAGAATTGTACACCCATAGATAGATAAAACTATCTATTTAGTTTTAGCATTTTAATCATTAGATAGATAAAACTATCTAATTTTAGAATATTTTCATTCCTCCAAAAAGATATCTGTAACTGTAACTCCAGCCGAGGCAACCAGGAATCTCTTCTTTGTCGATTTGCCTGTTAATAACATTTCACATACATGGAATCATAATATGTAGCCTTTTATGACTGACTTCTTTCACTTAGCATAATGTTTACAGATTTGTTGATTTTCCACTTACTCAGTTTTTGTTGTTAAGACAGTACTTTTTACATATTGAACTAGAAACCATCTGGCACTTTTTAGTTATTAATATCCAGTGACAGCAATATCATTTAAAAAATAGCCATATGAGCCTGTTTTTTAAAGTTATGGGGTTGACATTCATAAGAACAAATATTTAAATTAATTGAAATTAGTTTATTTTGGGGAATGTGATTTCAGAGGGCAGCAGGTAAGAGAGAATTACTTTTTTAATACCATTCATTGATCATTTACATTTTTTAAAATGTGTATGTAAACCTTTAATAAAAAAATTTTCTCTAAAAGCAAAAAATCTAGATACATACGGTGGTCATTATAAAAGTATATTTAAAAATCTTATACAAACTATAGTTTCTTAAATTATTATTTTTCACTTACATGTTTTCTAAGGATATGCTATGTATTAACTTCAGTGAATAGTTTCTAAATTATCAAAGTAAAATAATTGACATTATCCCTTAGGGATTTATATAATAAACATTTAATGTTATAGTCTTATACCTGTACCTTTAAAAATTTACTTCTTTTTTGACACATGGTCTTAAAATGTACATCATTTTCTCTTAAACACTTTCAGGAGCTTTGGTAATACTCGAAAGTGATAGCTATTGAATAGATAAGAATTTCCTTTTTTAAGGTTAATGTAAAAACTCTTGCATTTAAAAAACTTCAGAACAAATTTTGCTTTCCAACATCAGAGAGGTGTTTATTCGACTGCAACATGAAAATAAGATGCTTCGCTTACAGCAGGAAGGTACTGAGAATGAGCGCATTGAGGAACTTCAGGAGCAGCTAGAACAGAAGCACCGTAAGATGAATGAATTGGAGACCGAGCAAAGGTGACACTCTCCTTTATAACTGACAGTCATACTGACCTAATTAGCTAACCACAAAATCTTGATTCACTGAAGTGGAAAATAATCATTGTATATATAGATAATTAGGATTTCCGGAAGCTCTTAATTTTTTTTAAATCTCTCATTACCCATTACTTTTAGCAGACGTTGTTAACCAGGTTGCTTATTCCTGAATTTCATTTAGATGTCTTCACAATTACAGAAAATCTAACAAATGAATAAGTGACAATCTAGCTTTCTACTGCAGTCTGCTGAATAGATGAGACATAGATTTTGGAGTCAAATTTGAATCCCACCTCTACTTACTCCCAGTTTGGTTCTGGGCAAGTTACTTAAACTCCCACTTAGTGTCCTCAGCTGTGAACTGGAGGGATACTTATTTGTATGTTGTCATGAAGATTACAGTTAATGTGTTTAAAGCAAGTGCTGTACTTACTTGATACAAATGAGGAGTTCAGAAATTATATTTTAAAAAGTAACATTTATATAGTGCTTACTATGTGCCAAGCACTTTTCTAAGCACTTTTTTGGTATTAACTCAGTAAATCCTCCCAATAACTCTATGAGTTAGTAACTCTGATTATGTCTTTTTTATGGATAAGAAATCCAAATTACAGGGAGATTCAGTAACTTGACCAATGTTACACAGCTAGTAAGTTCTGGATCCTTCATTTGAACGCTCTGTCAGTCAGATTCCTGAGTCTGTGCTCTTAACCACTGTGCGACCTGCCTCGCATAAATAGCAGACTTTCAATAAAGGTATATGGATTTATGTGACCAACTTTCATTGGATCTTAGAGATTACTAGGAATTTTAGAGATACTTGAACCTTGTATGTATGCTATGACATCAACTGTGGTTAAAAAAAGAATAATATTTTACCTTTTTGAAGAGACCATTAAAATATTACTGTTCTATGCAGTTGAAACTATTTAGCACTGGAGATAATAAGTTTCAGCTTTTAGAGAGTTAATAAAGAATACAGGCATGTGAGTAGGTAATTATTATATTATGTGATAACTGCAACAGTGGAATAATGGAGTATTATAATGGGTATATAATATCCATTAATTATTATGAGTATTATATATAATATTATATATATATATAAAGAGAGAAAGATTCTCTTGCTGGTAACATTAGTGGAGGTAACTCTTAAGCAGGCTTTAAAGAAGGAGATTTTGCCAAGTTAAAAATCCATACTCGTTGCTAGTGCCAGTCTCTTTAATTTAAGTAAAGAGTCATGAAGAAATGGTTGTTAAATGGTGACCTTCCTCTTCTCCCAGTATACTGTGAAATCTGAAACAGGAAAAGGAAACCTAGTTTCCATTCATTAAAAATACAACTGTAGGAAAATTGAGCTAGTTTTCTAAGTTTTATACCAGTGAGAGTACAGTGCAGAAATGTGCTTTTGCCATTGATACATAACTTTGTCAAATTTTTTTAATGTGGACATACATGCTTTGAGGATAAAAATGTCTTCTAGTTTTAAAATATTTCCTTGAAAGCAACCTACTCTGTTTATTGTACCAAGACACAGATAATTGTTCTGCATTTGTTGTGGCTGTTAAGTGTATACTATATGAGTTGAATTCCATAAATGCACCTTTGTAGATCCTTAATTACTTTGACTTTCAATACAATAAACATATGATTCATCTTACAAGGCTGAGCAAAGAGCGCATCCAAGAATTGCAGCAGCAGATTGAGGACCTCCAGAAGTCATTACAGGACCAAGGCTCCAAGTCTGAAGGAGAAAGTGTAAGTAACTTAGAAATTATAATTAATTCTGCTATGTATGGACTCTCTGTAATAAGCCTGGAAGCCCAAATTAATCTTGTGTTTGAAGGTGCTACCCTCATCATTGAAGGTACTCTTAAATACCGTATATATCTGCATAATAGATGCAATGATTGATTTTGCCAACTTGGAGCCTATAAATTGATCATATGTATTGGAAGGTGATTTCTATCTGTCCTGCTTCAACAGCTATACCTAAATTCATGGTAATTCCTGTTTGGGACCATGATCAATCAGGCCTCCTGATTGAGGCCTTGACAGTTCTGCTGAGACCTAAGGAAAGTAATGAGCAGTCAGAATTGAAGAAAATTCCCAATAGGAAGAGAGAATGAGAAAATGATTTCTACCAAAAGAGCATTCAAGAAGTGGATTATACTAACCTGCAAAGGACAGAAACCTTAATGCAGTCCTGAAGACCTTACCCTTATTCTTCCCTCCTCCCACAGTGCTCATGGCCTTGCCATTTCTAATGGCTTTTCATGGCAGATTGTGAAGGCAGATATAAAAGGACTTAGAAGAGATCATATATTCTAAATTTGAATAAACCTAAGTGTTTCTATAGTTTGATCTCTATATGCAGAGGGAAAAAAATAATAACCGAGAGAAGAATGTATTTAACGAAAACAACAACAAAAAGTTAGGGCTGGATGTGTGTTAGATAAATAGTGCTTAAATAGAGTGTTAGGTGATACAGCTGTGTGGATGGGGTGACAGCTATGGAGAGTAAATGAAGAGATGAAAAGGAAGATTGAAATGGTGGCATTTCCTTTCTGTCTTTTATGTGCTTCATATGATTTTTTCTTTTTCCCTGGGGACTTGGAAAATAGAAATCATCTCACGCATGGCGGCATCTCATATGTGCATATATACGGTATTGTAACCTCTCTAATATGAATACGTTTTAAGCCACATTAGGGAATACTTTAAAAATGGGATCTATTTGGGGGACTGCATTTTGGATTTTAAGTTCATCTTTTAAGAAACATGTATTGGTGCCCAATTTATATTTCAGATTATATGCTTTAAACTCCAACTATTCAGATGATACAGAACTACTGTTGCAATTTAAATTACACCTTTTCTTAAAAAGGAAATTTTGTTTAAAATTTTATTTAACCAAAATCCAGTTGCTTCATTTTGATGTTAATATTAAAGTATTTGCATTTATAATGACAAAGTTTTGTTATAAAAATGCTTATTTTAGTTTTTTAAGTCAATTCTTTATTAAAAGCCTAAAATCATAAAATGTGTATTTTAAATAAACAGTTCTTTAGGTATATAAGTGTTTGATACTCCTCAATGTATCACATTCAGCTTGGATTTGCTATTTCTCTTCAAGTTCAAATTTTATTTTCATGGTGTTCAGAAATATGAAGCATTTTTTTTCTGCTATCGTACTCATTTCCTATCCTCCTTTCCTTTCCCCTTTGAAGTAAAAACTACCTAGAATGTTGTGTTTTTACAAGCATGTCATTAGAAAAACAAAATTTTCAAAGATGTATAATTTTAAATAATACACTTTCAAAAGATACGTAGAGATTTTGAAGTCTGGAAAATTTATCATTGTCATATTAGTTATCTTATAGCAACTTTCTTTAATTTTTATAGTCCAGCAAACTAAAGCAGAAGTTGGAAGCTCATATGTAAGTAAAACTGATTATTTCATTTCAAATATGAGAAGGAAAGGGTTTTAAACTTTTCTGATTTTGTTTATAAAAGTAAATAGACTGTTGCTAATGGAGTGTTCACTACTGCCACCAAAAAGTGAAAAGTACAACATATGCTAAAGATTTCAAGTGCTTGTCAGCGATCCCAAATTCCTCCTACATTTTTCAATCATTAATGTCATTTGAAGTTTACAAAGCAGACAACTATCACAACTTGACTGTATGGAAATGTGGGATGTTTAACCTAGAAAATATTTCCGCTAACTTTCATAGGAAGTAAGGATGGTAAGGAGAAACATTTAACATTTTTGGAACCAATCATGTGCCAGGCAGTTTGCATCCTCACAACCCCTGTAATAGTTGGCAGATAATATTCTCATTTCACAGGTGAAGAAACTAAGGATCAGAAAGTGAGTTGGCTACAGTCCACAAATGTTAAAAGTGGTAGAAACCAGTTTTTATTGGCTCCAAAACTCCATGTTCTTTCCACTACTTAGGGAAAAACTAACAGAGGTCCATGAAGAATTACAGAAGAAGCAAGAGCTCATTGAAGATCTTCAGCCAGATGTAAACCAGAATGGTAGGTATTTGTAAAAACCTAGATCAGACTGTATCTAAAGACCTGCCCTTTTTAGTTGAAGGATGAAAGAATGGTGTCATTGCAAACAAGAGCTATGATAATTTTTAATGATTTAAGTTATAAATTATTTAATTTTAAAGCAAAAAAATGCAAATCTAATAAAATCAATTGATATATAGGAGTATCAAACATTGTAAAATACAATAGTATTAATACTATGAAAATGTAAATAATTATTAGGTTAAAATGAACTTCAAACATTATGTAGGGAAAATGCTTTATTTTCTCTTACAATCTTTGTGATTACATTGTAAGGTGTATTTGCTCATTGAAATGCTTGATAGAAAGAAAAATAGCTACACAAAGCAGATTATATTTTTCAGAAAACATAATGTGAAATGATTGAGGATATATTGGTTATAATTCAAAAGTTTTAGATAAGAATTCACTACAAAGAAGAAAAAGTTTTCTCTTTTAAGTTCTCTTATCAGTCTTCAGAAAATAATTATGATAAATACAATCTTTTGTGTGAGGAAGGAGTATTTTACATACATAGTAATTGGTTATCTCATTTCATTTTCAATAATAGTACAAAAGATCAATGAACTTGAAGCTGCTCTTCAGAAGAAGGAGGAAGATATGAAAGCAATGGAGGAAAGATATAAAATGTACTTGGAAAAAGCAAGAAATGTGAGTGACGTCATGCCCCTGATTATAGCACTCTTCTTGTGTCTGTATCGCTTACCCACTACCCTGCCTCACTTGTCCGGTTCTTGGTGCATCTCCACATCAGTCCACATACTCTCCCTCTCACACGTCAGCACCAGATAAAACAAACACATGGCTTTAAGGGGCAGTTTAAATGTGGACTGTTGTGATCTCATTAGAGATAATGACTACTGTGATATATGCAATCTTTAGTTCTTAAAATGAACATTGCCTTTTGTGAAAATTGAGCTTTTCAAATTTGTTTGAGATTGTTTCAGCATTTAGTTTAGATTAGACAAACACAATTCTAATGTTCACCACACTATTCTTTTTCCTTCTTTCTTGTTTAGTCTTAAATATCTGTAAGTAGTGTTTGTTCTCATGAAATCTTTGTCCGTGAATACCATTGTATTTTCCTATTTAACTGTAAGAGAATGTTACTGTACTCTTCTCTATTTACTGACCAAATGAAGATAATTTTACATAAAACTTTAAACTATTGCTAATATATCTGCCTTTTATATGTTTAAGTTTTACATTTATTAGGGTATAAGTAGTACCTACAGCAACAGTAAACTGCCAGATCTCCGGGCCTAACAAGGTGGGAGTTTGCTTCTGGGTGACAACAGGTCGCCGTCAGTAGGGGAGGGCTCTGCTCCACGCCGTTATTTGGGCTGACAGAGGCTCTGCCCTTGAACATAAGGTTCCCAGACTCACTTGACATTGTTTAACCCGTAGATGAGGAAGAACAGACTAGACTACCTGGGGGATA